GTATCATATCATTGCAATAAATTAGATGTAATTCCTCTAATATGTCCCTTGTTTAATAGTTATGTAAACTATAATTAAAACTAAATCATCATGAAAGAAATCAAATAATAAATGAGATCAAAGTTCTTAAGCTGCATTACATCAGTAAGCTAGTAAATGACCTATAAACCTAATAAGACTATTTTTAATGTTAGATAAAAATCTAGCTTTAATATTAATAAATACATTTATAGCATTTATATGTCATGAAAACTTATGATTTGAAATAAGTTCTCTTTCACGCTACCAAAATAAAGGATAAAGGTATAACGTACCAACCACAGGATCACATCATCATGCACTTGAAATTGCATTTATGTGATCTCCTGTGATTGGGTGCCTCATAGGTGCGATGTCCGCCTCTAATATTGGAAAAAATATTACATTAGTACTCGTGATGTATAACTGCATCACACGACTAAATAAAAAAAATATATATTTAATGTATGATCTACTTCCTCCGGTCATGTGACACAATTTCATTAAAGTCCTAATGCAATTACTCATTACAACTCATGATATAATATTTTTTGCTAATATTGGGGGTTTTGCAACAACTTTGATGCATTTTAACAAAAAAAATTTGAAACGGGTTTGAAAACTGAGTTTGGGGCATTTACATGTGCCACATGATTTGTTTGTTTTTACATATCTAAGTTTATATATTTATATACATGGCACACAACATTTGAACATCACATAAAAAAATATCATTATTATTAATTTTTTAAAAAATAAAATACAATTTTTATGCACAGGATTATGCCACAGAAGTACTATAAATGTGAATGTGAAAGTTTATAAGTTAGATATGTAAAAGTCTTACGTTTAATTTTGAGCATGTTGGGATTTTATTAATTATATGAAAAGATTCAAAATTTACTGAACTTTAATCTTATTTATCCGTTGAGTTAAGTGAAGTCCATGAGATCCATATTTGTAAGAAGAAATATTTTGAGGGTGGTAATTGCAAATTATATACCGGGTCGGATGACGAAAGGGACACGTGGCGACGGCTGGAACGGGTGCCTCTCATGTTACCGACCCAAACGTCAAACCCGTTATCGGCTAGATCGAAGGCCAGAGATTGCTCCGGAAGGTTCAGGAGCCACGACATGCCATCCTGCAATTATGTTATTTTTTTTTGTCAATAAGTAAAAAATTAAAATTTAAAATCATATATTTAATGATTGAGGAGCAGCTTAATTCGAAAAGAAAGGGTAGTTTATGAGTTTTACAAAATGAAAATAAATGCTAATTTCAAATCGATAAATAAGAATATATCATAATAATTATACGTTATGATCTCTTAACTATTTTATTTTTAAGTATATTTATGTATATTATATATAATACTTATGTCAAAATAAGTATTATTCTAATATAAAACTATGGTAATGCAAATATGTTTTCAAGAAAAAAAAGGACAATATATGTCACGACCAAGGGTCTGTTTGGGGCAGCTCGTGCGTTTCAGAATAAACAGCTTATCCTAAAATGCGGCCTGCGGGTCGACCGAGGATGTCAACCCGCGGCCTGCATTAAATATAAAAAACTCAAATGCGGCAGTCAGCGTTTTCAAAAAAATGAAATCTAAACAGTTAGGCGGCGTTTCAAAAAACGCTGCCGCACTTATAAGCTGCCCCAAACGGGTCCTAATATATGATTGCACACATAATGCACAAATGCTATTTTTAATAAAAGTATCATTTTACGGCCAGTATTTGTTATATATAAATAACGTTTGTTTTAATCAAAGCCAAGCGCTTTATGTGGCTTCAAAACTTTCATTCTGGCGTGTGGAATTGAAGAACCAGTTTTGTTTGTTAGTGTGATATTTAATATTTTTTTTAAATATTGGACAAATAAATATATTATTAATTTATCTAAATTATATAAAAAAAAGAACATTATCTACATAAAAAATTCTATTAACCTAATTCCGCCCGAAATAAATATTTATAATCAGATAATTTGTATTTTTTTAGTTTCAGTTTGCACTATTTCTATATTCCATGTCGAGAGAGAGAGAGAGAGAGAGAGAGAGCAATTATGCAATTTACCTTGATTGCCCCGACCGTCCCTCCGTAATAATTACATCTATGGAGCAGATTTTACTATTTTAAGAGTTAATTTGACTTTCTTTTATATATATGTATATATATATATATATATATATATGTATATGAGAATATTTACCGTAAGAACACCATGTTGCAAAAGCACGGGCTGCCTATCTCCTCCCATAACTCCATTGCGCCCCACTGGTATTCTCTGCATTCCCAGTATGTAGCCATCCTCAGTGGTCACCTATACATATATATCTCCAAATATTTAACTCCAATTAATATATACCATAGATGACGAAGTGCATGGCAAAGCAACATTAGTCAATAATTAACCTCGAACTCCTGGCATTTATAGCCGTAGGGACGCACCACAGCCTCGCAGATTCCAACTTCTTCCGGCGAGGGAGAGAGTGTGCGGGCGCCATTGCAGAAGAAGAAAGAGATGAAAATAATTGAGCAGGAGAAGAAGCTTTGGAGAGCCATGTTAGAGGAGAATTGAGACTGATAGATTCGCGTATTTATAGTTGAAGGGAGAGGGCTTGAAGAAAGATGCGGAAGAGAATTAGCGTATGTGAACGGAAGACGCGATGGAGGGCTGGCTTTTGGATTTTAACGGATTGATGTCGTCGGCTTGATATAAGACTTGTTTGTTTTGGAAATGAGTTGCTGAAGGGGATAAATGGAAGGCTGTCCTTTTCTATTTATTTGTTTTTTGTAGCTTAGCTGGTGCGGGATGAGGAAGTTGGGAATTAAAGAAGTTAGTGGTGGTGTTACGGAGTGTGCTTTCCCTTTATTTATTGCTATATTATTATTATTGTTATTATTATTATTATTATTTATAGTTTTATGAAAAATAAGGAAAATATTATACCAAACCTAATTATAAGCCAAACAAAATGGAAAAGAGGACATAATGATATCATAAGTGAGGGGAATATAAGATGTGTAATAGGAGGGAATTATGAGATCAATGTTTCATTCAATTATGAAGTATCTCTTGAATATCTTTTTTAGACTAAATACATTGTATGAAAATCCAACACTCACAGATGACTGAAAATTATGGGGAGGAGAACAATTTTTTTTACTTAGAAAAGCGAAAAGGAAAAAAAGTATGGGGCCTAGCCCAAACAAATTATTCCACCATAAATTTGTAATTATAAAGATAAATCCTTGTCCAGCAAATGAGAATGAAGGGCTACAATACTGCATAAAGTACAATACTTGTCCGTGCATAGTATAAGAAACACTTCAGGAGTCTAGAGAAATTAGTTGTTGTATTATAAGTACGACGAGTGAAAGTATTTGTTGTTGAACGTTATCGTTGGATCTTCATTACAATGTTATTCCCTACTCTGTATGCGGGATATTTCGTAACATCTTATTCACGATACCTCAATGCACCATATTCATCGATGCATAATTACACACACTATAGGAAATCAGACTATTACCAACTATCTAAATCCATCAGAATTAATTAATAGGCTATAGGATTGTAAAATTTCGACAGCTTTCAGACAGACTATGATGCTAAACTAAAATGCTTGACGTTAATTTATTTTCTGATGTGATTACCGATGGTTGTTTTCTTTCTACAGTCTAAATCGTAGTTACTACGTACAACCTAACGCATCGGACACCCATCGATTATGTGTTGGTAACCCTATTAATAGTTTCAAATTTAGCTCTTATTAAGTGCTAGTCGGTTATGTGTCGGTAAGTTGTCCGTGTTAATTTCTGACAAGCACGTCGTTGGTAACCTAACACATCTGTTAATTGATCGTGGCTTTTAGTGGCATCATAAAGCCCGCCAACATGTTGATAGTTCATTGTAAACCTGTCAGTTTAAATCTCAAATGATATTAGCCGTCGGATGATCACCATTAGGTCGTCAGAAACCTGTAGCTAAGAAAATACATTTAACAATACAATTTTCACACCTACAATCATAAAACACATATATTTTTAATGATATAATACATTGCACAATTTAATCATCCAAGCAGTAAATAAGAAAACAATAAATACAGTAGTAAGATAAATACATTGAACCGACCAAAAATAAATATATGTACAAAAAAATCTATTCAATTGAATCGTTTCAAAAAAAAACATTATGAATAAAACATCTATTTAGTTTTTTGTCCTCTCATCATCATTCGTTTCCTCAAACTCATCAAAGTTGATTGCTTTCATCACTGCTCTACTAGACGTGGGACCTCATCTAGCTCAGATCTCATTTTCTCCTTGATCTCGAACCTCATCTAGGCGATTTGGGAAGCAAACATGGCAACAATTTGGTCTCAATATCTGCAGATAATGCGACAACTTGCATACGATGCTCATCCTCATGAGCAGTAGAAGTGGATGCACCGGAGGTGGGCCTGTGCCAGAGGCCACAACTCATAAACCTGTTTCTTCCTCTTGCCTCTGACAACCTTCCTCCACAAGTCGTAATTGAATGGATCACAATCTCGAATCGTAATACCATTGTTGGGGCGGCTCTCCTTTAGCATTCGAAAGGCTTCTTACCAAAAAAGAAAAACAATTAAGAAAAGTTAGAGGGTAGTTAAAAAAACAATATAAGAAAAACCAATGTATTATAATGTTTTTACAACTGCAATTCTGTTAGGGATACGAAGATAATGCTTCATTACATCATAAATTAATCTTTATCATATGTTGATATGTGCGGATGGTACATACCTTAGAGTATGTCGTATGATCCCAAAATTGGAGCGATGCATATGATCAATATGCTAATATGTGAGTTGAATCTAAGATTCTTATAAGTGTGCTTAATGCTGGACAATATTATACTTTGGTTCAGGATTATTGTTTGATACTTAATATGGTGATATAGATTAATAATTGTCCCAATCACGCAAGTGGTAAAATCACACAAGAAATCCACATTTGTCCCAATCACGCAAGAGCAACAGATGACACAAGCATCCATCCTGACTCCAAGCCCATGATTATATCGTGTTCGTGCATGAATAGGATGCAAAAGCAGTAAGAATACTCAATAGAAATCATTCATGTTTTTTTCTTAAAAAAATGTTTTAATTGTTCTAAAGTAGATATTCTGATAAATCACTATGATGGCCATTCACTTTAATAAACATTGTACTTGAATAAATAGTCAGGCTGATTTTCTTAATTCGATTGTTGATATTTAATCATATGCTTGAAGTGAAATTATCTGATAAATGAAAAACAAAATAAGTTAAGGGCTGCTTGATTTGCTGAAAAAGTAATGCAATGTAAAATGAATGAAATGTAAGGGTAATATATTGTATTTAGGTTACTTTGGAGTTATTTGATTCAGTGTGAAATAAATAAAAAAAATTTATTTTTTGGTTTAAAATAAAATGAAAACACTGTATTTAAAAAGCAATGCATTAGTCGGTAGCAGCCAGTTGTTGTTGTGGGTAGATTTGGTTGGGCAAGCAGGGACGGCAGTGGGCAGTGTGCAGCGACTGGTGATGGGATATGACCAGCGACAGCGGCG